TATTTTACAATATACTAGTCTACTAAAACACAGCCAAGACAGGTCACTTTGTAAAGACTAAAGGTCAGTTTTACATTATTGGATACAGTAACGTGTGCATGTGCATCACATCATTGTAACTTCTGTATTGTTAGCCAGGCATGGCTGAAATGTCAATATAATAAATATATATATAAACGTATAATGTTATGAGATTTAAGCTATTTCATCTAAACATTTATGTTTTTGTGTTATAATTTGTGTTCATTTTAGAATAAAAGATGCATAATTTATATTTATTTCCTAATTTCTTATAGTGATTGCGAGATCGGTCAAACTTACCAAACCCGTATAGAGATTAATCACTGAAAATAACAGATAAAATATAAAGTTTCTTCTCAAGAAACATTTGATAAATATCTGGACATTATAAAGATTTCGCATGTGAAATTTAAAAATATTCTGATGCATAAAAGCATTTCTAATGTTAAGATGAAAATTACTTTGCATGATAGATAGGCAAGATGTGAAGAAAAAAAAGGCATGAGAGAAAAGTTGCTTTACAAACCTCAAGACTTAATAAAAAAAATTAGATATTTTATATATGAAAACATTGTAATGTTTACTGATAAACTGCCAAATTTCATTAACATTCGCTTACTATTTTAAAAAGTAATAGCATGAAAACTATAACAAACACAAAATGGTTACAAAATCAGTCCCAGGAACCGAGCCTGTGTTGAAAGAGTTAATGTATAACTAACAACTCTGACACTAGTTATTGATGCACGCAATACAATTCCTTGATATTCAATTACTAATGTACAAGTTGTAACTACATGATGATGAGTGAAAAGAGTAAAAAGTTTACAAGAGTAATATTAGTCATTAACGCAGTAGTGGATACGAAGTAACTAGTCATCAGGTTTGAATTACCTATATTAATACTGAGTGTGAGTATTGAGCTCACATGGCATTCAGTCATAAATAAGTCAAGTAAAACTCAAAGAAAATTCAGTTGAAAGGGTAAGAAACCTAATTATCCTAGTATTTTGTCAGAAGGGTTTCAAATTCTTCCAACAGTAGCTCTGCACGTATATAAAAGTAACTATCTTAAAAAACAATCACATGGAAAACAAATCTCAAAGTTATGTCTAGCCTAAAATCTCATCTTCTAAATCGCCATAACTCTCGTTTAGTTTACAATTTTTATATTTGTCTTTCACAAAGCCTATATAGCATTTATTAACAAATTTTTGGTTGTTTTACCTTTTGCTCCTCTGTAGTAGGCTGCTGCGATAGACTTAAACCTCTCTTGTCCTGCTGTGTCCCATCTGAAACAGTACCATCAAAGGATAATATATGACGCAGAAAAAAAAACAAGTCAAAAATAATCTTTAATAGCTACTCTTCTGGTATCCAACTTGTGTCTGTGTATCAATGTTTTTATTTGAGATTTAAACCTTGTTTTGTGTAATAACTTCGTTTTGGTCATGGACCTCATATTTCACTTTCCATTTGGATGTGTATTTTGAAGAGGAAAAAAAGAAGATCAAAATAACATTTATGACCATATAGTGTTGTAATGTTATCTACGGGCTGGAAGTGGCTTCCAAAATAGATAACACTTTGATTCAGCTTAAATTCTGAAAACTTTTCTATCACACAGTTTTACATTATTTATTATCCATTTAAATAACAATGAACGACTTATTGCCAATAACTCTAGAAAAATGGATAAAACCATCTACAAACTTTAACCAAATTTCTGTGAACAGCATCACCAATAATCTAAAAGAAACAGTAAATCATTTGATATTGATGACAAATGTAACTACTCGAGCATCAGTTATTAGTGTAAATGTAACCACCCGAGCATCAGTTATTAGTGTGTAAATGTAACTGCTCGAGCACCAGTTATTAGTGTGTAAATGTAACTG